CGTTAACCACATACACACTAAGCTGACACTGGGCTAAACACTTTACCTACTGTAATTCATTAATTACTATCACTGCCATCAGCAAAAAGTGGGCACTATCATACCTCCATTTTACCTTTGAGGAGGTAGCATTTACCAAAGATCGCAGCCAGGGATGTCACCTTTCCTGAAGACAAGATTGGAGCTCCTCTGGGGAATCTGCTCAACGCTTGAAGTTACTTCATGTAAAACAGGCTAAATAAATTTAGAATTCTCTAAACACATTTTAAAAAGTAAAATGTTATTTCTGTTTAGAAATCCTACTGTAGGCTCACTAAAACATTATACAATTTTGTGGTTTTTCCACAAAAATCAAAGCGATTGTTGACTTTAATAAATAAACCCAATACTGTGGAATCCTTCCTGGAGAAATAATGAATCAGTAGATCATTCTGTAAAATAAAAGGGTAGGTTCTGATTAAAATAAGGGTTTACCTGAAGCACCTGTAAGGGCCTTAGGCATGGCATTCTGTATGAATGCCTAGGTTGAAGACAGATATCTTATGTCATTGAAGGGTTCCTTAAGCCCAAGTAGATAATGACAGTTCTTTAAGAAGAATACACAGGCTCGTTAGCTGTTAGCTGTTACAGTACCTAAACACAGTTTTGGACATATTTGATTGAGAATAGAATTTTCAGTCCAGTTATAGATCTGTGCAGAGTAGACTAGTTCATAGTCAATGTTTTCCATTTTAATCCTGTTCTTCCTGGAGTCTTCATCCCTGAAATGACTAAAAATTAAACTAGTCATCAATTTTTAATGATATGAATTGGAGGAAGTTCCAAATTTGGAGGAAGAAGCAGAATAGTGAGAAAGGAAAAAGAGAAATCAGAAAAAAAATGGAATAAAGAGGGGAAAGACAAAGAGAGAAACAGAGAGAGAGAGAGACACAGAGAGAATGAGAATGAAAAAATTGGTATCAAGGCCATAATGAAATTTTTCTTAGGGTCATCTGTTACACTACTAAGACACTGAAAGGTGAGCTAACTCAAATCAATCCCATCACTCCCTTGTTTGCCCATGGGGTAAAACTGGATCATCTACAATGATAACTTCTTGGGGGCAGGCAGAGCCACTAAATGGAAAGACTACCAGCAAGAGTGAACTGGGTAACATTATCAATGCAAGTGACTTCTATAGAGTTAGTGTGCTAAAGGACAAATTCTGAGCCTCTGTTTAGGCTCATGGGTTTAAACTGGATCATCTACAATGAACTGTGATCATTTCCTTCCTTTCCCTCCATGGAAGTGCCTTCTCTCTCTGGCTGGGTAACGGGATGCCAGGCATTGCATGTGTTTGTTGGTCGATGGCTGGGTAACTAAAGCTGTATTTCCACCAAAGCACAAAGGTTTTTGCACACTTGCTCATAGCCTTTGGCATATCAAAATAGTTATTCACAAATATTTTTCACGATGAGCCAGTGTGAACAGATGATTATTTGAGAATATACTATTGGGGAATTCATTGTTTTTCTCCTATTGTGAGGGAGAGAAAAATAGAAATAAATCTAATACTCATTAAAATCACAGATTTTGTTTTGGATGGCTTTTAAGGTCTTAAGAATGTAGATACGTTGGAAACATTAGATAAATTCAAAAAGATGAAATTTAATAATCATGCACCTTCAAGATGGGAAAGAAATGTGCTAAAATCAGCACTTATAAGTACAGACAATTCGTCCTTTGTTTGTGTCATATCATTACCAGAAATCTAATGGGATCGTAGACACCCTCAACAGAAGGAAAAAATAAAGCAATCATTTCACCTTATTCTGAGAACACATCAGGAATATTGTGAGCCATTTATGTAGCTGGTGAACAGATACAGGGGAGTATTGAAGTGGTAAGTTCTAGATATCTTGGCACAAGATAAATCTGATTAACTTTGGTGAGGTGTGATAGGACTAGCAGGCACAAATCAAATACATCTATGTGAACTACCGAGTGGATTGAACATATAGTCAGGTCTCCATATGCTTGGCTTCCACATCATGGATTCAAACAGCCACGTATGGAAAATATTTGAGGAAAAATATATTACTTCATTTCTGATGTGTACTGTACAGTTTGTCCTATGATGTTTATGCTGTCTGTACTCAATAGGTATAAACATTTTTATCTTGTCAATATTCCCTAAACAACATGGTATAACAACACAGCATTTAAATTGTATTAAGTACTATAAGTAATCTAGAAATGATTTAACGTATATAAGAGGATGCGTATAGGTTCTATGCAAGTACTACACCATTTTACATAAAAGTTATTTTACATGGCTTAGAATTTATGGATTTTTATATCTATAGGAATCAGTCCTGAAACCAATTCCTCACATATACCTAGCAGTGATGGTAAGCTGGTTGTTTCAGGAGGAAGTACTAGAAAAGCATGTATAAGCTTTGAAAAATTCCCGTCTTGAGCTTGATTAAGGAGCATTCGTCTTATTAAATGCATAGACAAATGGGATTCTCAAGTTGGATATGTTCAAGAGGTGTGCGTGGCCTTTATTGAAAATGTTCTATCTATTGATCTAGATCAGTCTACAGGTTTCTGTAACATATGGCTGTGGTTCATATGCTGTGCTGCAAAACAGCTCACACGGAAAAGAGAAGGGAGTTCAAAGCTTCTGGAAGTAAACAGTTTCCTGTTTCACAAGGCCTGCTTGTGCAGAGTGGCACAGGCAGCTGTCTGAGGTTTTAGACAGAGATGGTCCTTGGGAGTGACTGTCCTCCTCCGGATTTCATGTTTGCTGTGTGCTTTAATGTCTTCTGGATTTTCACCTCTTCTATTCCTTACATAAATCAACATCTTTTACTCCCCTATACACTATAGACATTTAAAACAAAGAGAGAAATGCATAGAAACTGTGACAAAAGCAGAGACTAAGTTGTCACCTGTGGTTTCCTCTTCTCCATCCCTAAAGTAAGTGAATCCATTTCACTTTAAGAGATTTAGTTTGGTTTTTACAGTTGGGTTGTTTCAAGGGACTGGAATTTATAGTAGAAACCAATTTTTCTGAAGCAATTTATGTATTTGCTTCTCAATTTCTTAATTTTGTGCTTGCTAAGGTGCATACATACCCTGAAAAGAGATAAGAAATCTAAGCAGAAAGTTAGTCTTATAATTGGGTGAAGAAATAACTTCATCTAGAAAGCTCTGTGGCCCAAACAAACCCAAGAGCAGTTCAGTGGTAATAAACCTGTTCTATTTTCTACTTTCCATTTGTGTTACATTTCCTGTTGTTTGATGTTTTGAACTCTGTTCCCCCAAGCTGTAAAATGGAGACAAATAATAGCATTATTCCTTCAAGTTATAAAAATGAAATAGGTTCATAAATGTAAAGAATTTCTTAGAACAGTACCAGACACATACAAAACAAATATTAGTGTTATTATTTATTTTGCCATGGTCCCTCAGTGCCACTTTTATTTTTGATTGTTTTTAGAAGAACTCACGGTTCACAGAAAAACGGTTACAATAACAGTTATAGTTTATGATAGGAAGAAGAAATAGATTAAAACAAGCAAATAAAACAACATATGTGGAGTAGAGTCCAGGGAAGATTGGATGGAAGGTTATGAGTATACTCCGAGTCCAATCACATGGACAGAATTTATCTCTCTTAGCAATGATATTTGTCATTGTGCAGAGTGTACTCAATCAGAGAAGCTCTGCTGTGCTTAAGCATCCAGGGTTTCTGTTCAACATCAGATTTATAGGTGTGTAGTGCATGTGTGGCTGACCTTAGCTGCCTATACTCAGTCCTCAGCCTCTGCAGAAGATGCAAACAGATACAGTATGATTTAAACAAAGCTAGTACACAAAATATGCATTCATCATACATCACCTTATTAACATAATATCCAACATAGCTGAAAGCACCAGATACAAAAAAACATTCTTATTGGCAAGATGTGTCAAGTGTTCAGAGGAGCCAGTTGAAGAGTGCACATGGTTTGAATAACCCAGGTCTACTGAATTAAACTATTTACTATACATAAATGTAAACTTTTATTGGAACAATCTTTTTATGACATTTTAAATATTTTGTTTTTTGTATATGAACATTTATTTTAATATCCATTGCATGCATTGCTTTTATAATCTTTCCTCTGTAAGGCACAAAATAATTCAATATTTAACCTGTTTTATTTATTTATTTATTTAGTCTTTTTTTTTTTTTTCATTTTTATCGGTACCAGGAATCGAACTCACGACCACCTGCTTGCAAGGCAGGTGCTTATGCTGCTGAGCTAAATCTCCAGACCCTTAACCTATATTTTAATCTTATGAAAGAAATCATTATTATTTTAATATAAGACACATCTGAAATGAAGCACAACTACTTCTATTGTAATATTAATAAGACTGCTTCATGAATTTGCACTTCAATTTCATGCCAAATTATTTATGTATATTATTAGTTTTAGTCTTTACCAACAACTGTGGGAGGTAGGTAATATTATCATATAGGCAAGAGAACAAAGGTCCACAGAGTTTTGAAAACTCCTGTAATATTCCCAGCCAGTAAGGGCAGTGTCTAAACTTATCAGGTGATTGTACAGCCTACTCTTAACACATGCATAGTAATTTCTGATGATCTGGAGACAAAGAGTTTAATAAAAGAACATAGAAACACTAAAACCCACTTGACTTTATAAACCTCAAAATCCACAGAATGTTTTGACATTGGGACAGAGTTGTGGGTGGAACATGTGCATCCCTTTTAACAGGGAGATTTCTGCAAAGATTTCAAGGCTTCAAGATGTCCTTCTCTATTAAAATGAGGTGTAGAAAATACAAGAAAGACAGAAATACAAATAGGAGAGAAAAAAACTAAGCAGTGGTTATGAGTATCTTAATTAGAAAGCTAAATACAAAACTGAAGTAGCCCCAAAGATTTCAAAATTGTTGCCATCATGAGTTGTTTGTAATGCATCTCTTTTCTCCTCTCTTTTTAGATCTCAGTCTGTGGTAGAAGCTGGGACCCTGAAACATGAGGAGAAGGGAGAAAATGAGAACACTCAACCACTCCTGGCTCTGGACTGAGCCCAAGCCACCCAGATGCTCCTGCACCCTGGTCTTCAGTGGTATCAGTCACCCCAGAAAGCACATGTGCAACTGACCCCCACAGACATGTGTGTTCTACTTAACACAAGGTCCTCCATTCTTGCCCCCAGCAATGACTGTCAACAGCCATCGGTCGGAGCAACCAAAGTTGGACAAGAATTTAGAGATGCTTTTTGTTTTAGTGGAGGGATGGGAGGATAAAGCAAGGCATTTATGTAAAAAATGTTCTCTTTCCCTACATATTTATAGTATCAAATGAATTAAAATGTAAAAAAGTTAAACGACGTACAACTGTATTAGGATGGGGATTTTTCTGAGAAATCACACAGGGACCCTCTCTAGTTTTTACAAATTAAGAGTAAGTGTATTTCCAAGTAAATACATCACATTTAAACTGTGCAGACACAATTGTCAAGTTCAATGTAGTTCAGAGCCTTGAGGTATAATATCTAATTTGCATCCTTATTGAATTATGTTCTTTGACCTCATCACCAGCATAGAATTTTTCAGTCTAAGAGCATGTTCTCATAGGTCTGGCTACTTGCAAGATTTTCTTATTTTGATACCCTGTAAAACAATGATTTCACTGTTACAATTTTTGTCAGGTCACCACCTGACTTCCACAAGATGACTTAAAAACACCTACAATTTGAAATATGACTTCATCTTAGCAATGTGATTTCCCACAGGCATCCAGAGAACCCAAAGAAGAGGTATTTCTTGAGCACACATGTCAGTGATTAATAAACCCATTAAACTTGGCTCACTTGGGTCACTACAGCCAAGAAAAGTGCTACCAAATCATTTAACCCTTCAGCCTTCTGCAATCATTATAGAGAAAGGTCCAGCAACTCATAAGTGCAGAGCTATTAAATCAAAGAGGAAGAACCTGGAGAATGGCTATGATGTACAGAAGAGACTAGGAATGCAGGACAAAATGCCAAAGATCATTTTATTTGTTTATCTATTATGCTTAGAAATGGAGTCCCCATCTATCCATTCAAAGAAAATTCAATGTAAAATAAACAGATGTCACAGGCAATTATTTGTGTCATGTTTCCCAAGATCAGTTGCCTATTTTTAGATATATCTTATCTTGACCAGCCATCTGCATGACATGGAATTAATATGACCAATTGGTGCTCAGTGTCAAGGTAAAAATATTTTAGTTGATAATTGGCAGTAAAAAGTGATTTTACAATGAAGTATGTGGGAGAGTTGATTTGTTAGCTGAAGAATTCAAAGTAATGAGGTGATTGATCCCATTGGCCATAATCACCCTCATATATTGTAATTAATTGTAATTAATCTTAACAATTTATTATACTCTTCTTCAATGAATCTAATGTCTTAATTATTTTTTACTGGTAGAGAATAATAATTCACTTTTATATTCCACCTTTGAAGTATATAATTGAATTACGATTAAAAATCTTTCTCAAACAATTGCATCACAGTATAAGTAAAACCAATTCATTTTGCATAGACATTTCAAATCGAAAAATAATAACACTGAAATAATTTTACCAGTGCAGTGGCTGAAACACTTACGTAACAAGACAAAGGTAAGAGAAACGAAGAAATACTTATGTGACAAGACAAAGGTAAGAGAAATGAAGGATTAAAATGAATTAGGAAAACTGACTTTTTATTGCCTGGGTTTTAAAAATAAGTGTGGGATCCAACTATGTAAAATGCTATTGGAGTCAATTATTGCCAGCTCTTTGGAACAGTAATTTTTCTGCTTTTCAATTGGCAATATTTAGAATCCTACTGTAGCCACTGTTAAATACATTATATTTATTAAGCTGAAAGCTAGTTTTTACTCTTTTCCACAGTTTCCTTAAGTGAATGTAGGAGGATGGTTCAACTCTGACAACATATGGTTTGCATTTTGTTTACCTGTATGCAATTTACACAGGAAAACCAAATTCAGTAAGTAACATGAATGGTACTACATGAACACTGGATTGTATTGCCCTTGTCAGTCATTTCCTGTTTAATAAATCCTGAAGGACACAAATATCTTTTATTTTTCAAGCGTTTGTTTTTTTTTTCTAGACTTTAATATTAACTTTGTTATTCTTTTTCCTATGAATCTGTATCTTTTTTTAGTGGAATTCTTAAACATTGGCCACACAAAAGGCACAGGATTATATTTTAAGAGTATGGCAAATATTTTGAAAACTGTATAGTTTATAAAGAAAGCACAAGTGGTTTTTCTATCTGTGCATGAAATTTGGTGACCTATGTGCCATTACCATGGTACTTTTGTTCATGCTGGCTTAGAATTCAGTATATAAATACCACTATATTCTGACAGCTAATACTTGTCGCTAGCTTTACTTTTAAAAATATAAAATCAAGTGCAGTAGTAATACTGTCCTAAATTACTGACTTGATCATCTTTGGAATGAGAAGACACGGTCACTTTTAAGTGTTACTTATGTTATAATCAATATTAAAACAAATCATGGGTATTAATTACTATCTCAAAATGATGTGTAGCTGGAAGAAGTTTTACAAGCCAAAGGTTCAAATTCTTTCAAAAAAGAAAAAAAAATTAAAAAAACAAAAAACAGTCTTGCCTACCCACACCCAAAACAAGGATATCTAGCACTCCTTGGACTGTCTGCTCTGCTGTTCTTATATTTATGAAACTGTGATGAGAACTCAAGGACCAAAGGGTTGTCTTCTTGCCACTCAGATGGATCTACAGGGGGAAGACACTCTAGATTCCCAGACCCTGCGTCATGAGTGGCAAAGAGGCCAGAGGCCAGGTGTGCTTATGTCTATCTAAAGCTGGGGGATAATTTTACTTCCACAAATTTACATTATTTTCCTCAAGCCCTAGTGTTTGTCATTAAAAAACTTCTATGTGGTATTTTTATATGTCATAGTAAAAATGATTCTTTGTCTTTTTTCTATATAAAAATGTCCTTCTCAGAAAGAAATAAGATTTTGACAATTATCTTCACCATTTGCATAGTGAAAGAAGCTAACACTGGAACTCAGTGAAGATAAAAAAGCAGATTCAAGCGTACGGATCTGCACAGATAAGAGACAGTGGCATAACTAAATTTTCCTCTTTTGTATGAGGAAAACAAACTGTCTTTTTTATGACAATTTTTGCTAAAAAGAAGAGAAGGAAGTCTAAATTGGCCAGAGAGCTACCACTAAACAGCTCAAAATTAAAGCTTGCCACTGTAGTCAATTAAAAAAAGCATTGGTGCACGATGCCAAAATAGTTTAAGTACCGTAGAAAAATATAACCATATAGAAAAATTACAAACTAAAGCAATCCATTCACAGTTTCTACAAATATTCTCTTTATACACTGATTTAGACCTACTCTACCTGGTAAAAATACCTTTGGCTGGCAAAGTAGAAGCTACCAAATGTTCACTTTAAACATAGGCTACGGTCAATGCTGTCATGGATGAGATGTGGCAGGGTATTTTCTAAATGAACAGCAGCAAGTAAAATGTTCTATTTAGTGTCTAACTCTAGGAGGAAACTCAGAGTTTTTCAGCCTGTAAGTCACTGAATTAAGAGCCATGGAAAGAACCTCCGTGTCCATATCCAAAGTGATCCAGAAAGGTAGCATCTCTCCAGGATGTCCCAAGGCTACATGAATTCCTCTTAAATTGCAGGAAGGCTGCGTCTCTGTTGAGGTGTCAGCTCAGGGTGCCACACATCCACGATGAATATCAGCCGGAAAGATGAGGCATCCTGCCACACCTCATGCTCGAAGGAATCGTCAAAGATGAGCACCTTGCCTTCTTCCCACATCCTGGAACAGAAAAACATGGACTTCTGAGTACAGCTGTGCATAGTTTAGATGCTGGAGGATCCATTCCTATGCACATGCCCGAAGCCCTTTTTTAAGACAACTTTTATACATAGCCAGAATATGAAGTCTGAATTTTTAATAATTCCTTTGATAATGAAGCAGCACTTTTAGAATTCTTATTATGAACACCAGTTTTTAGTGCCTAGCACTGTAGATGTCAAAGGGCAGAAAACTAGCAAGGACAACCCACAGATCTGACTTCATGCCTTCCAATTATTCTGGGTCCAATCCTAAGAGATGCTTTCATGTGAGGCAAACATTAAAATGCACATCCTATTGGCTGTGTCTAGGACAACTTCCTGCCAGTGATGCCACTGCTGTCCTCCCTGGCCTTTAGGGACTGCCTTAGATGTGAGGGTGGTCACTGAGTTTCAAGCATCTCTATGCCTTATTAAACACCTGATGTAGGGTCTTCACACTTCCAAATAATTCTCTTTGCAGTTAATTCCATATATTCAAGTTTCATTTAATGGAAGATATGAGATAAGTATGGGGGGCTAAATATAATGTTAGTTTAACAAATAATCAAAAGAGGAATATGTAGCAGTCATTTACATAATGCCTGTCTCATTCAAAGAATGTTTGAGACAAGGCAGTGTCCTATTCTTTACAAAAAATTAATTAAATATAAATTAATACATACTGATATGATAAATGCTAATTTATGTTTTTAAAGTATAATTTTTACTAGGAAAGTTTTCTTAGACATTAAAAATTCTACTTTATCATTTAATATTTTATACTTTGTGTTAGAAAATAGTTGTATAGGAAATGGTAGCTTGGTTTCAAGCTACCCTATTATGAAGGCATTTTCCTTGGGGAGATGACTAATGCCTTTTCATGTTTCTTACTAGATGATTAACCAGTACAAATTGAGTGATATTGCAGGGCCTCAGAACTTTTGCACTACTGACATCTGCACCAGATCATTCTCTGCTGTCTTGTACATTAAAATGTTTAGCAGCATTTCTGGCCTCCACCAATAGACCTATACAAGTTAAGACAACCAGAAACGTTTCTAGTTATTGCCAAATGTTCCAGGTAGGGGATGGGAAAGGAGCAAATCATTTCAGCAGAGATTAACTGATATATCAAAGCAATCTAACACAATTTCCAAGTCATTTTAAGTAATCAGTAAAGTAACAAATTTTAAGTAATCAGTAAAGTAACAAATTTTGGAAGTTACAGATTCACTAAAGTTGGGAACCAAACCTCTACCTTTGCTATCTATCTGCCCATTTCCCTCCACTGTGTACTGTCTCGCACCTTTAGCCTAACCTCTTACATTCGGTAAAGGTGTTGCTTGGCTGTTTGACACAGTTTCTCTGAAGGTGTAAAGAATTCCAATAGAGTCTTATCCAGGCGTAACAAAGGGCATAAATACAGCCAGGAATGAGTGACAGAGTAGGCATTCAATGCCATCTATAACTAGACTTAAAAAGAAAAGCAAAGCTAAGAAAACAAAAACCAAACCCTGACTCCCCCTACCACAATAAAAGGAGAAATGGCCCATGGCTGAACAGTCACGAGGTCACTTTCTAGGTCTCAGTGCTGTCTGGGAGACTAAGCAATGTCTGTGGTGCCAAAGACAATCCTACAGTGCAGGCAGAAGAAAAGGAGGGCACACTCAAAAGGAACAGTAGTATCCACAGGATAGCAGTACTATCGCAGCAGCTAAAGCAACCAAAACATCCATTTGCAGATGAATGGATAAACAAAAAGTGGTGTGCATATGCAATGGGCCAGTACTCAGCCTTAAAAATGGAGAGAATTCTGGCATGCACTACAACATGGTTGAAGCTGGAGGACATCATGCTAAGTGAAGTCAATAACAACTAGCCAAGTTCCTAGAGTAGTCATATTTGTAGAGACAGAAAGTGGAATGTGGCTGCCAGGAACTGGAGAGAAAGAGAATAGGGAATCTCTGCTTAATGGAGGTGGAGTTTCAGTTGTGTAAGACCAAAAGAGTTCTGGAGGTGGATGGTAGTGACAACTGGGTAATGTGAATGAATGTAATGCCACTAAACCACATGCTTAAAAAGAGTTCAGATGGTTAATTTTATGATATATATATATTTTATTCCATTTAAGTAATGAAAAGGGAAAGGCACAGGGCAGAACAGAGGTGGGGAGAAGCAAGCAATATAATAACAATGGAAAAGCTATGGTTTACAAGCACTAAAGGCTAACAAAAACCTCTTGGCTGTGGTACTTAATTATTGACACACCTTGTCTTATGATGGGTTTATATTTTGATAATTTACTGTAAACTGAAAACATCTTAAATTAGAAATACCTTTCAAACATCTAACCTATGAATATCACTGCTTAGCCTACCCTATGTTAAATATGCTCTGAACGCTTACATTAGTTTACAGTTTATCTAAAACAGAGCCTATTTGATAATAAAGTGTTACTCAGGAGCAAAAGTGTATATCTGTAATCTCAGCATTCTGGCTATTAGGGAGGCTGAGTCAGCAGGGATGAAAATTCTCATAGGTACATGGGAACACAATGTGATCCTGGCTCCAAAACTACATGTGTCGACTGTTTATGTAACATATTGAATACCCATATCTAACATATGCTGGCTACACAGTACACTGGATTGTGTCAATAGTTTTCCCTTGTGATCCTGAGGTTGACTAGGATTACATGCTGCTGGTCCAGGGAAACTTTTTTTTTTTTTTTTTTAATTTTATTTAAGGAGAAAAGAAAAAAAAAAAAAACAGTGAAAGGGTACAAGTTATACAGATTTACAGAAGAAAAAAAATGAACAGTAGGGAATCACTAGTTAATGGATTACATATTGCCATCTTAGAAATAATTGTTCAAGTCACAAGATTAAAGCTTGTAGAGTGGACATTCCAACAATGATACTGCAAACAGTTCTGTTCAATGATCCAATAAAACTCTGTGATATCATTTTCTATCTTGTACACTTAAATATACATGCAGTTATATAGTTTAGAGCACTTTCTTTTCCTCTCTTTTGTACAATGACTATTACACATTTTGGGTTTCATTGCTCCCACGGTTCTTATTACTTTTTTGGAAGAGAGTAAAACCAAATGTGACATAACAGAACAGAATCGGTCAAGTCAAAAGGGTGGACATAATAGATAATATAAAAACATAATATAAGGTGATCAACAATGGTTACCATAATGCCTCCCACTATCTCTAATAGAATTGCCTATATCATCAGTTATAATACAATTGAACAAAACAGTAAAGAACAAAACCAACAAAACCAAAACATTGGAGACATTGTAGGTCTTCAAAAGTAGATAAAAGTTAACGAGAATGGGTGTTATAATGAATCTCATTATCTTCACAGCTGATGCCTAAACTTTCGAACCTGATACTATCCAGCAAAACAGAATAGGGGAACATCAGTCAAAAACAAGATGGTGAGAGTAATATAGGGCTTCAAATCGAGATAATAGAAAGTCAAAGTGGGTTACTATATTATATCCTGCTATTTTTTTCCCTTTAATTAAACGGATGAAAATAAAAAAGTAAATAATGGAGTGGAGATTGAGAAAAAAGAGGGCATAACAGCGACACAGCGCAGATCAAAACATAACCATTTAAGCAGAATAGTGTTTCACCACCAGATAATTCCGACCCAAAAGTAGTTACCATATTGACTCTTTCCTTGAAGTCCTTGAGTACAACTTCGTATACTGTAGCATTAAGTATATCAAAACAATGTAAAACCATTTAAGAAAATGACAGCATTACAGAGTATTTAGAATCGACTAACAGAAAATGAACAATGGTTTCTGTATAATCTCCTTGTCTTTAAAAGGTTTTTGCTTATACTATCGTACATAATAAAATCCAATAAGATACAACCTGTTTAGACCATTGGAGACAGAAGAACAAAAGCTAGATGAGACTTCAAAACAAGATGATACTAAATCAGTATTACCTATTAAGATGTCATTTTCTCCAAAATAGCTGTTCCTATCATCCAATCTTCTCTGTCTCATTTCTGTTGAGCTCTTTTTCTGTCAGTAGCTGTCAGTTTGTCTTCTTCATTTTGTTCTCTGCTCCATTCGTTGTGGCCTCCCCGCCACTATTTCTGGGTTCTTTGTATTTTTCTTTTTTTAGAATATCCTGATACTTTCTGTAGAGTTGAATTGGTGGTTGCAAATTCCCCCAGTTCCTCTTTATCCTGGCAGCACCTTGTTTTTCCATCAATTTCCAGGGACAGTTGTGCAGGATATCTCAATCTTGGCTGGAGATTATTATGTTTCAAAGCTTGAATTATTTCCCCCCATGCTCTTCGTGATTTGATGGTTTGTGCAGAGAAATCTGCTGTAATTCTGATGGGTGTTCCCTTGTAAGTGGTCTGTTTCTTGTCTCTTACAGCTTTTAATATTCTGTTCTTGTATTGAATTTCTGGAATTTTTATTATTATATGCCTGGGTGTTTCTCTGTTTGGGTTGTAGGTGGCTGGGGTCCTGTATGCCTCATACATCTGAGTATCTTTACCTTTTGCTAAATTAGGAAAATTCTCCTGGATTATTTCTGTGAGTAGCTTTTGTAGTTCACTTATTTGTGTCCCTACTTCTTCTTTTATGTTCTTAATCCTTAAGTTATGGATCCTCTTATCATCTTCTTGTCTTTGTATTATTGCTGTTTGTTTCTTTGTTATTTTTAAGAAGTTTTTCATTTCATTCTCCCATATTACAAGTCTGCCCTCCAGTTCAGATAGTCTGTCCTTAGTTTCTTTCAAGCTGTTATGCCAGTCTTGGATAGACTTCTTAATTTCTTGATAGTCCCTTTGAACCTGCTTCACATACTCTATGCTTTCTCTGTTTTCTCCATCAAACAATTCTCCCCTCTTTTTCTGTTCTTCCATTCCACCATCTGTTTTTTCCTGGGTGGTGCTTAGCATTTCTCTAACTATTCTGCATACTTCTAGCTTC